ATGAATCTAAGCTATGGTAAGAATTAACAAACAAAAAATCACTCTTGAACGAGGAAAAACGAAGGGCTATGAACTTTAGCTAAGGAAAAAATTACAAACAAAAAAATGACTCTTCACGAGGAACATACGGCTTACTATGGCGATTACTATGGCTGTGGACATGGACCAAGGCTCTGGTGCAGGACAAGGACGATGACACTCTGGCGCAAGACAAGGGGAACACAGACTATTTAAACACATGGAGGGAAATAGGGGACAGGTGGAAACACTTAGGGCAATCAGACTGAGACACATGAGGAAGGGCAAGTGACCTGAAACGAGAGGATAATTAATTTTCAAAATAAAACAGGAAATGACAGGACAAAACAAACCCAAGACAAGACAACCTCACCACGGTGTGACAGATAGATGAAAAACAAATAAAAACATTTGTGTATTAATTTGAAGAACGTTAGTTTCTTCATCGCTCCACACAGATCTGTTTTCATCTGCCGTTGTCTTTTAATTGGACGTTTAATTCACAAGCTTTGTGTATGTCATGATTTATTTGCCTTATAAATCTGTTTCCATTGTCACATTTTGTCACATTTTGCTTTTAACAATTACACCAACTTTTACCTCAGTCACACAAAAGTTTTTGGGATATTTCAAAAATAAATCTAAAATTTCTGGCATTTTCACTCCACTGTGTTTTTTATGCACATAAAATGCTAATAAAAATACATGTATGGAAACCCACCTAGTTCAGAGAGTTGTACTATTATCTATGTGAGGAATAAAGTATAAAGTCTGTCGCAGCTTTTGGCTGATGTCAAAAGCACAATTTTTAACAACATTTTTTAAAGATTCAACCCAAAGAACAGGGAAAAAAGAAAGATAAAGATAAAGCAAACTCCTCAACATGATACAACATAAATTATGGATGTATAACAAGTTACCTTTTCCTCATTTGAATATTTAAATATGATTATAATAGAAGTATAATAGAATTCAGCACATCACTGGACACTTCTCAGAGAGGGGAGCAGACATCTCCTTCTTCTGTTCTGTTTCATTTCAAATGCTGGATTTGTTTCATGTGAGTATATTTTCTATTTTCTCTTTATTATTATTATGATCATTATTATTCTCAATCAAATTGATCAAATGTTTTGTTTTTACTTTCACTACTATTACAATAAATGTGCCATCAGTTAAAATATTAATCAAATTTATCAGCTTCAAATGTATATTGTTAGTATTGTTATTTTAGTTTTAAGTTGTGGAATTTAACCTTTTAACAAATTCAGAGTTTCCCAGTGTGAATCGTTTACATACGTTTCACTCGTTTCACTGTCCTGGTAAGTGCTTGATACTTTCTTTTTCTTTTTGTTTACTACTTTTTTATGTCTTCCTTTTCTCTTTTTACTTTCAGTGAACTCAGAGATGGACTGTACAGGGCTTTTGATTTTTGTCTTCTTTGGTAAGAGTTCTGATTGCTTTAATTTCCTGTTGATTGTTTTGGTTTCCCGTTCATATCCATCATAATACAGCTGTGAAGTCATTTGAAGTCCTCTGACCATCCTTATTCGTAATTTTGTGTAGAATGTCAGAGGTGTATTAACCCTCTGGAGTCCGTGGCCACTGTTTTATTTACAGTAACTTTATATCAACTTTATATCATGTCGAGACAAGCTGAGGAAATCAGTTGAATGTGCTGATGTGGGACTTTCATACACAATAGCAGAATCTGAATTGTTAATATTTTCCATGATTTACATGATTTATAATTTTAAGGAAAATGCACAAACATAAGTTGTAATAAAATCCTTTAACATGTAAATAGACTGTATTATAGTTTCTTCTTTTTCTTTTTTTTTTTACATATGTCAACTATATTGATGTGTACAAATGATAAAACAATAGTTTTTACAACTTTGAGCTTTTCTATAATAATATTTCAATTGATTATGACTAAAGATATGAACATTTTCACAGGGGCCTGTGTTATATTTTATATATCTTGGGTTTTTAGCAGTTTATAATTTGTCAGACTTACAGCGAAGTTTGTGCTGAAAAAAAAAAGGATACAACGCATGTTGGCTAGGGACAGTTTAAAACGTCTGACAGAAATGAATGCATAAAAAAATCATCAAAATGGACTCCAGAGGGTTAAGTATAGCGGCAAGACAAACAGGAAGCCTTGCAGCGTTCATTCGAATTTTCTTTTTAAAATCTTCAGTTTTGAAAAACCTTTTTCTTCACTAAAAGTTACCCATATCTCACTCATAAAGATAGGATTGCCCATACACAAATATATGTACCAATATTGAATTTCCATATTTGAAATATATGTCATATAAATTAAAAAATATAAATGTAAAAATTATTTATGAAACATGTTAGAAATTGGAATAATTTCATATGTTGCCATATATATCTAGCCCATACAAATATGTATGTTTATGTATGTATGTATTTAATTATATATGTATATATATATATATATATATATACACTGTCTAAAGNAATATATGTACCAATATTGAATTTCCATATTTGAAATATATGTCATATAAATTAAAAAATATAAATGTAAAAATTATTTATGAAACATGTTAGAAATTGGAATAATTTCATATGTTGCCATATATATCTAGCCCATACAAATATGTATGTTTATGTATGTATGTATTTAATTATATATATATATATATGTACACTGTCTAAAGTATTCAGTATGTATACTGTAAATGTAGCCTACATACATTACATAAGAACATATTACACTATACTGTATATGCTTACAATATTCAGATCAACTGTTCCAATCATGATTATTACAGTTTACATCTAAATATGCCCTTTATCATCAACCCTTAGGATTTGGCGTCACTACCTGCTCTGACACGCGCCTGTATGAGTTCCACTATGTCAACCTGTCAATGAACTGGAACGAAGCTCAGCGTTACTGTAGAGAGAATTACACTGATCTGGTGACCATTGAGAGTGCTGATGACTTAACCAGGTTAAACAGACCGAGTTTGGGCACCTTGTGGTCGTGGATTGGACTGACTGATGACCCGAAATCCTGGAAGGGAGTTATGGGCAACGATTCAAACTCCTGGAGATGGTCAGCAACTGGTACAACGTCAGAAACTGATTACCAAAACTGGGCCTACAATGAGCCAACTTTTACTTACGCACGGGAGAAATGTGTTTATATTTTTAATGGAAAATGGTTAGACGATCGCTGTTGGATTAAAAAACAGTTTGTTTGCTTCAACGGTAAGAAAATTACTATTATGTTATTGGTTATTTCTGCAGTTTAATACTGTGACAACAGTGGACTTAGTGTTACAAATTCTTTCTAAAAGTAAGTTATTTTCCTTTATTGTAGATAAAAATCCTCCAGGCCACAGAACATATACTTTTATTGCCAATAAAGTGACTTGGACGGATGCCCAGATTTATTGCAGAACACACTATACAGGCCTGGCTACGATTGAGAATGCTCGGGAAAACGAAGAAGTGAGGTCAAAGATATCAGGACAGGCTTGGATTGGCTTGTACCGAGAACCATGGAGGTGGTCCGACAAGAGAAGCAGCTACTTCAGAAACTGGAAACATGGACATCCAAATAACAATGGTGGTGGCAAGCACTGTGCTGCTGAAAGTCCAGGCCACGGTTGGGTTGATCGCGACTGTAACTCTAAATTTTCCTTCTGGTGCCGTAAAGGTGAAAAAAAAACATGAATCTCAATCTTCCTTTGATTTTTCACAACACAATAATATTTCCTTCCTTGATTTGTGGATATATGTTTGTTGGACTGTACAGACCTGAGGGTGAAGATGACCATGGTGAAGATGAAGATTCAGACTGTTGCTGACCTTTCAGATCCTGCTGTTAATGACCAGATTCTCCAGCAGGTAAAACTCCCTCCTCCCTCTACACAACTAAATCTCAGGTATCAGAACTTCTGTCTGTTCATCTGATCAGTTCACAGTATCAGACCGTAGGCTTCGGGGCTCAGGCTACGTCCACACAACTACATTTCCATTTTAAAATGGCGATCTCCAGACTATCACACCTAAAAACACACATACATGAGCAATCACGGTGAGCATGTGCGAGCCGGTGTAAACAGGAAGCAGACTGTCGACTCTGCAGTTGATTAGTTGTAAGCTTTTATGAAGCTTCTAATGTTTCCTCTATTCCCTCTCAGATGTGTGACAAGTTCAAGGCTTCAGGGATTGACGTCAAACTGAGGTGGGTGACTCGACCCAGGAAAGAAGAGGAAGAGTCCGACAAGTCAGTGTGAAATATCATTGATTATGTTTTTGTACAAGCTACAAAGACACAATGCAGGAAACCAAAATAATGTAGTTAGATGACTTTGTTAGATCAGATACTGTATTGTTAGTCCCACTGTAAAACAGAACATGTTATAATCTTCACTAATCTTCTTGTATAGAATAACATGCACCAGCACTTCTTAAAAGTAACTAAACAGCAGGCTGGAAACCAATGATGTCAAAGGGTCAGGTGGATTCAACTAAAATGGGCCACTCTTTGGTCAATTATTTAAAAGGCCATCAAAGAAGGTATGCATGAGATCTAATGATATATTAAAGTAACTAAACAGCAGGCTGGAAACCAATGATGTCAAAGGGTCAGGTGGATTCAACTAAAATTGGCCACTCTTTGGTCAATTATTTAAAAGGCCATCAAAGAAGGTATGCATGAGATCTAATGATATATTTATACCTTTATAACTCTTGAATATTTATCAATTCAAAAAATGTGAAAAAATATAATTGTTTTGGAATTATATGAGTTGGAGTACAACACAGTGATCAGGTAAAATGGGCCAACAGTAATTTCAGATGAGATCATGTTAATTTTAACAATAAATTGACACAAACTGTTGTTTTTGTTGTGTAATAGTAACAACACTGTAAATACCTGTAATGGAGGTGTTTTCTTGGCTCATTACATTATGGGTTCTTTTAAAGCCTTTGAGTTCCTCCACAACATTTGTGAGGTCACATGCTCGTACTTGAAGAACCTTTGTAATTGGAATATTTTTTTAAATGCCTTTGAAACACAACTGAAATATATTCACATTTATTAATTACAATTTACATCATATAAGCCACTGCAATTATTTTATAAATATTGGATCAAGTCTAAAACCATAGTCAAGCTTGTACCATATAATGTTAGTGTGTGAATGTGAACGTGAGAGCACATCATTGCAGTGTTACAGGGAAATGTTTGGTCGCTTATCGTCATGTTTTGACCAAAATGACGGTTGTCGCATTCTTCATTTGATTATTTAAATATAGTCCTGATGCCACATTATTGTCTCACACAGTCTTATTGTGGTGGCAGATGTTTACCTACAGATCTGAGTGATAAGACTTGTTGTATTGTTGCATTTCCAACCTCAAGGAAATTAGTTAGTTTTCATAATATAACTTTTCTTTGACAATAAAGCAAGTTTAGATTTTAAACTCAGAGTTGAGAGAGATACTTACAGCCAAAAGTCAGTTTCCATCAAAATGTAGTGCAAATTTAGAAAATGCAAAATACTGTGTGTTTCAATCCACTAGTGGTGGTGGTGTTCATTGAAAGAGTCCGGGTCAAACCTTGATGGATGAAAAACAAATAAAAACATTTGTGTATTAATTTAAAGAACGTTAGTTTCTTCATTGCTCCACACAGATCTGTTTTCATCTGCCGTTGTCTTTTAATTCACAAGCTTTGTGTATGTCATGATTTATTTGCCTTATAAATCTGTTTCCATCTTCACATTTTGTCACATTTTGCTTTTAACAATTACACCAACTTTTACCTCAGTCACACAAAAGTTTTTGGGATATTTCAAAAATAATTCTAAAATTTCTGGCATTTTCACTCCACTGTGTTTTTTATGCACATAAAATGCTAATAAAAATACATGTATGGAAACCCACCTAGTTCAGAGAGTTGTACTATTATCTATGTGAGGAATAAAGTATAAAGTCTGTCGCAGCTTTTGGCTGATGTCAAAAGCACAATTTTTAACAACATTTTTTAAAGATTCAACCCAAAGAACAGGGAAAAAAGAAAGATAAAGATAAAGCAAACTCCTCAACATGATACAACATAAATTATGGTTGTATAGGAAGTTACCTTTTCCTGATTTGAATATTTAAATATGATTATAATAGAAGTATAATAGAATTCAGCACATCACTGGACACTTCTCAGAGAGGGGAGCAGACATCTCCTTCTTCTGTTCTGTTTCATTTCAAATGCTGGATTTGTTTCATGTGAGTATATTTTCTATTTTCTCTTTGTTATTATTATTATCATTATTATTATTCTCAATCAAATTGATCAAATGTTTTGTTTTTACTTTCACTACTATTACAATGAATGTGCCATCAGTTAGAATATTAATCAAATTTATCAACTTCAAATGTATATTGTTATTATTGTTATTTTAGTTTTATGTTGTGGAATTTAACCTTTTAACAAACTCAAAGTTTCCCAGTGTGAATCATTTACATACGTTTCACTCAGTAATTTTGATATTTTTTAAAATGCCTTTGAAACACAACAGAAATATATTTACATTTATTAAATACAATTTACATCACCTATAATCCACAACAGTTATTTTATAAATATTGGACCAAGTGTAAAACCATGATCAAGCTTTTTCAAAATATAGCATGTGTTGTATGTATGCTTTTGTTAAAGGTGGATTTCTGCTTTAATGTCTGCTGTCCTGGTAAGTGCTTGATACTTTCTTTTTCTTTTTGTTTACTACTTTTTTATGTCTTCCTTTTCTCTTTTTACTTTCAGTGAACTCAGAGATGGACTGTACAGGGCTTTTGATTTTTGTCTTCTTTGGTAAGAGTTCTGATTGCTTTAATTTCATGTTGATTGTTTTTGGTTTTTCCGTTCATATCCATCATAATACAGCTGTGAAGTCATTTGAAGTCCTCTGACCATCCTTATTCGTAATTTTGTGTAGAATGTCAGAGGTGTATTAACCCTCTGGAGTCCGTGGCCACTGTTTTATTTACAGTAACTTTATATCAACTTTATATCATGTCGAGACAAGCTGAGGAAATCAGTTGAATGTGCTGATGTGGGACTTTCATACACAATAGCAGAATCTGAATTGTTAATATTTTCCATGATTTACATGATTTATAATTTTAAGGAAAATGCACAAACATAAGTTGTAATAAAATCCTTTAACATGTAAATAGACTGTATTATAGTTTCTTTTTTTTTAATTTTTTTTTACATATGTCAGCGAAGTTTGTGCTGAAAAAAAAAAGGATACAACGCATGTTGGCTAGGGACAGTTTAAAACGTCTGACAGAAATGAATGCATAAAAAAATCATCAAAATGGACTCCAGAGGGTTAAGTATAGCGGCAAGACAAACAGGAAGCCTTGCAGCGTTCATTCGAATTTTCTTTTTAAAATCTTCAGTTTTGAAAAACCTTTTTCTTCACTAAAAGTTACCCATATCTCACTCATAAAGATAGGATTGCCCATACACAAATATATGTACCGATATTGAATTTCCATATATGAAATATATGTCATATAAATTAAAAAATATAATTGTAAAAATTATTTATGAAACATGTTAGAAATTGGAATAATTTCATATGTTGCCATATATATCTAGCCCATACAAATATGTATGTTTATGTATGTATGTATTTAATTATATATATATATATATGTACACTGTCTAAAGTATTCAGTATGTATACTGTAAATGTAGCCTACATACATTACATAAGAACATATTACACTATACTGTATATGCTTACAATATTCAGATCAACTGTTCCAATCATGATTATTACAGTTTACATCTAAATATGCCCTTTATCATCAACCCTTAGGATTTGGCGTCACTACCTGCTCTGACACGCGCCTGTATGAGTTCCACTATGTCAACCTGTCAATGAACTGGAACGAAGCTCAGCGTTACTGTAGAGAGAATTACACTGATCTGGTGACCATTGAGAGTGCTGATGACTTAACCAGGTTAAACAGACCGAGTTTGGGCACCTTGTGGTCGTGGATTGGACTGACTGATGACCCGAAATCCTGGAAGGGAGTTATGGGCAACGATTCAAACTCCTGGAGATGGTCAGCAACTGGTACAACGTCAGAAACTGATTACCAAAACTGGGCCTACAATGAGCCAAAACTTTTACTAAAAGCACGGGAAGAAATTGTTGTTTATATATTGTTAATGGAAAATGGTTAGACGATCGCTGTGGATTAAAAACAGTTTGTTTGCTTCAACGGTAGAAAATTACTATTATGTTATTGGTTATTTCTGCAGTTTAATACTGTGACAACAGTGGACTTAGTGTTACAAATTCTTTCTAAAAGTAAGTTATTTTTCTCTATTGTAGATACAAATCCTCCAGGCCACAGAACGTATACTTTTATTACCAATAAAGTGACTTGGCTGGATGCCCAGATTTATTGCAGAACACACTATTACAGACCTGGCTACGATTGAGAATGCTCGGGAAAACGAAGAAGTGAGGTAAAAGATATCAGGACAGGCTTGGATTGGCTTGTG